GAAATTGAATACAAACGTAATCAAAAAACGAAGAAAAGGAAAAATCTCCCGAGGAAGGAAAAGTAAAATTTTCCCAAATTGCTGTCTGCGAGGGTGTATCAAGCAAAAACCAATTATTTTTCCAATAACAGACGGATTTGGCCAATTTTTCCGGCAGCTCCATCTCAAGAGCTATAGTGCGTTTGACATCATATTTTTTTCCCCGCCATACAAAGACGAAATGTATCTCGAGGGAGTGCGGGTCGCTAGTTTTCACTTTCTGTCTCCGCTTATTGACACATTTCCTGCGCATTTCAAAAGCTTTTATCGTCCGTTTCACGGCGTACATATGTACTTCTTAATACATTATGTAGTTTAACACGCTTTCGTATATTTGCGGCCAGAGCTGTCGGGGAGCCGAGACGAAAACGAACCCAAGCCCTGCTTTCACAAAAATGAGCCGAGTTAAAGTGGCGTTGACGGCGCGCCCGGGAAAGCGGACACTCGGTTTCGCAGGCAGGGAATTATTTTTATTAAGCAAGACGGATCGCAACTGATGAACGCTTTCAGCTTGTTTACCACTTGAGAAAATTTTGATTGATTCCTACACTTTGATGATCAGCAGCTGTGATTAATGTTAAGATTTGATCAATCTATAGATTGACTAATCAAACTTTGAAATTCAGTTAAAGATACCAATTTTAAATTTTGGAGAAAAGCTGCTCATTTTAGTTTGAAAATTAAGAATTTATATAACCAACTTTTAATAAATAAATAAAGTTCTGCTATAATATTTAATAATTTTAGTTGATTTTGTACTTTTTTTTTCGATATAACCTTTAATAATTATTTATATTTATTTGTCATAAATTCTATTGAAAAATTTGGATTGATTATATACATTAGACTCTTTTTACTCAAAATTAGGATGCTTTGAAGGTAATTTTTAGAAAATAAATATTATCAGCTAGCATCAAAAAATTTTGAGCTTGAAAAAACGAAATTTTTGTAGATAAAATGGGCTTAGGTGTTAAGCACAAAATAAATAATTTTTCGTGGTCTGATCAGTAAAAAAAATAAGTATTCATAATTAATATAATGATTAGAGGAATTTGTGCCAAAATTTGTCAAAAGTTTTACTATTCATTGAAATTCAGATTGGAAAAAACTATAAAATTCTCATAAAATGTAACAAAACAACTATATTGTTTTGTATAAGTGAAATGTTAAGAAAGCTTGATAACTAGCTCTAAATATTCTTGTGTATTAAAAAAAAAAAATTAAAAACAAGGAGGTTCCCAATTAACTCTGTAAGGAAGTAAAACTTGTGGGTGACGTACATAATTATAAAACTAGAGCAGTTGGAGATTTTTATATTTCCAAAAGCAAGAGTAAATTTGGAGAAAAATCACTATTTCAAAGCGGCCTCCAATTATTTAATAAGATTCCATCAGATATTAAATGTATTGAAGGTACTAAATCGTTCAAAAAGGCGTGTAAAAATTATTTGAAAAATCGAGATATTGTACTGTTGTGTTCAAGTGATTGAAAAGTGACAATTCGTGCAGGACTAAAATTGTCATCAAGAGTGCAATGGAAAATTTTTGACATATTAACTTTGAATGTACATGTACTAGTTTTCGAACTAATAAATATATATTAAATCAATCAAAAAATCAATTTTCCCCTCCCCAGTCTAATTTCGCAAATTTTCGTTCACGTCGATCCATTGATTCAATCAATTCAATGGTTGGCTAGTTTTCCATAAATTATTATTTTATCATTCATCTCTACTGCCAGATTACATCGTGCAAAGAAAAATAAGTGATTGGCGAAGCAGGTTTGCAACATTCCAATTTTGGAACACTTCCAAATAGAGAAACCGACTCCATCTCAAACGCACACAAATATTTCAATTCCATAGGAAGGAAGGAAGGAAGGGTTCTCGCTTGCGCCCCGAGCAGTATGCAGAATTATAGCTTCAAATCTCCCTTTTATTGCAGGCGGCTGCGATAAAAACTCATGTTTATTGCAAAACAGCCCATTCGCTTTCATGTGGCCAGAACGGCCGCCGCCCCGCGCTGAATATAATTTGTACTAGAAATGATATCCTTATCACAGGGGATTTTGCTTGGAACTTCCGGCGTGTAGAAAACTTTTCATCGGTACTTGTCACAAACTACGTCTTCCTTGTCGCGGCGCGTTATAAGACGAGAGCAGTTCAAAGGAACCCCTTTGTGTGCGTCGAATGGATTTCCAGATTCATTTCATATACGAAGAGAGCAGCAATAGGCCCAAAATGTTGCTCACAAAGCACGACCGGCCGTACAAAAGCCAGCGAAACCCTTTTTTGTTGTCATGGAAATTGATATTTCCTTTCTACGTTGGCAACATTTTTATTTATTTTTTTCTTTCCACCGAGTGAGCGCCGCCTCGAGCACGCTTTCTGAAGTGCTCTTGCGCCAAAAAGTAGCCTAATAGAGGATAAAACGGCAGGTTGTTGAATATGTAATGCATCTTGAGTGGGGAAGAAGTCTCGACTTATTAGGCTCAAATTTTAGTTGGAAAACTCTCAGGTCAAGTAGCTTTTTATTTAACAATGTTTTTTTTTTTTAATTTAAGGATTTTGTATTTTTTTTACCGTGATCTTTTAAAATTAAATCTGAATCAACTTTAAAAAAAAAATCAATCGAAGTCCTGCAATAGTTAAAAAATTTACAAACTTTCTAAAAATAGGAAAAAGTCTCGGAAAGCCTTTTTCAAAAGAGCTGTAAAAATGTCATTTTTAATCTCATAAATATGGATATTTTGAATCACAATGATAGGATTTGTGGATTTAAAGCGAAATATAAAAAAAAACTGAAATTTTTTCCAGTCTAATTAAAGCAAAAAAATAAATACCTTTTGAAAAACGATACGGCAGAGCAGTTAATTAAATTTCCTCCTGAGGCTTTCGCGGAAAATTTCCCAATCATCTCATCAACGCACATTGTTGGATGGAAATTTGAGCCGAGAGTAATTAATTTCGGCAGCGCTGGAAATCAATTTAATTTCATCCGCGCGCATTCATTTGTTTGCTCGACAACAATTTCCAATTCAATAAGCGGCAAATCTCGGCGCCCGACAATCGTGGGAATAAAGCAGCGCGTTTGATTGCCTATCAATTTTGCATGAATAATCGAACAGCAACGAACGAATGAATAATTCAGCCGCTACGTTTTGATTGGTCGGCATCAGCACCTTTGCCGGTCGGAAAAGTAGTGCTTTCCGCAGCACAAACATCAACACGACTGATTAAAGTGCTAATGCCTGTGATGTTTAGCGGAGCGGCCAACTATCATGGCCAGCTAATTAATTTCCAGAGCTGGGCTCGAAAGAAACTGCCGGGCAGTCAGTGGCTTGGAAAGCTGCCGCCCCCGTCTCTGGTCCACGTCCCACACACAAAACATATATAAACTTGTATACCAACGACCAGATGGGGAGGAATTGCATTCTAGCAAAACCATAGAGTCGCATGGAAAGGGGTGCGTCTCTGTGGCTTAAATACAGGGCAGTGAAATAACTTGTTATGTGGAATCTCTTCCAGCCAAAAAAGAAATAAAGTACTTTAGTACAAATTAAACTGTTTCAAAATCTTGAAGATATTTCAACAAAATCAGAGAAATTATTTGAAATTTATTAGACAGATTTATTCAAAGAGTTATTTTTACTATGATTGCGACCCCATTTTTCTCCAAAATGATTTGAATTATTTTTAAGTTTTTCAAATATTGATTATTTGCCATAAATATTGAACAATATTGTTTATTTGTCCACATTGTTACAAATACATTGTTAACATTCAATTTTTGGACATTGTTGGACAAAATGGCTCCACCACTAGCAAGAATTTTACTGAAACTTCCGAGATCAAAAAGACCCCATCCGCCGCAGTGAGCCTAGGTTGACTTGGTTTAAAATATTATAATAAAATGCTAAAAAAAAAAAGATAAAAATTGAATTACTTGGGAGAACTGTTGTGTTTCAAGTTAGGATTTAAAAAAAAGTGCTTTAGGCAGTAACGGCTAAATGATAAATCTTAAAATTTAATTTGGAGCTTTGAGATGACAAATAATGTGACATTGTTAGTGTGGCAAATAATTATCTTATCACGGGTTAAGCTCTCTTTGTATGTTATTTATTCCAATCATTTTGTGATCTATATTTTTGCATTAAAAGTCATCCTTAACATTCTTTGATGAGAAGATTTTGCATTTTGTAAGTAATTTTCGATTCATTTTATAAAATAAAAATTTTAAAAAATTAGCTTTTTCAGCACTTTCCTTACCAAGTTTGAACAATATTTCAAAGATAACAAAAGAAGCGATTGTAATGCTTCATCGTAGCAAAAATTGTTTCCCTTTGATTGTTTGATGGAGAAATTATCTCAAGCAATGGCCTTTTAATATGTACATATTTTGCATTTTTTGCTTTAAAATTTTGTATGTTCTGTCTTTGTATTTTTTGATGTAATTTCTCTCTCTCTCGTAATCAATGTAATTTATAATATTGAATGTATGGATGATGTATTTGAGCAGAGAATGCCTGGTGATACATTAATAAACATGATTTGAAACTAAAACGCGCAACAAAAATAAAGTAAAAGAAGTTTTTAAATTGTTCTCAAAATATCGCACAAATTCGCAATAAATGATCGCGATCAGTTCAAATTTGATGTTTCTACTCAAATGTGGAAATTATTGTATTTGTATTTTCTTCGAATTTATGAACAATTTGGCCGTCTTTGCTTCAAAAACTTTTGGATTGATCTGATTAAGCATGTCACGGTGCGCATCTTCCACTTCCCCGAACTTTGGCCCGGGCGGCCTACGAAGTTGATTACGTTTGAGGCCGGACGGCACATCCCAGCCGGCCCGAGTGCCGTGTCGTCAAGTAATTTGCGGACGGACTAACTTGGGCACACATAATCCCCGGCAGAGAAGCCGAATATGTATCTAGATCCACATAATTATTCTACTCACTTGAATCCAGCTTCCTGAAGGCAGTCGAAGGCCTGCTCCATGGAGGAGTGCTTGAGGAAGAACCTGCTCGTGTACCGGTCGCTCTCGCCGTGGTCGGGGTCGCGGCTCTCGTTCAGACTCTCGCCAAAAACTTCGCGACAAATGGTCACGCGGCCGCACACAAGGATGCGCGACAACTTGCGGAACTTGACGTCGGCCATGCCGGCGCTGCCGAAGGCGAAGCTGCCGCGGTAGCCCACCGTGATGTAGCCGCGGCCGGGCGTTTGGCTGCTCTGAGACACGTCTGAAAAAAAAAACACCAAACTCGGTTAAAATTAAATTTATTAAAATCTAGTGGTGTAAAAAGGGCGGAAAATTTCAAAAATGAAAACGAAACTGAATAAAAAACAACAATAATAAAAGTTTGTCATGAAAGACTTTAGAATTATTGTCAGTCAATAGTTGTTAGTTGTTATGTATTATATTGTAAATTTAGTTACAACTTTTTGTTTATAAATATTATGATTATATCATATTATATTTTAGTTTTTAAATTATTCTACATGTAATTTTATTTTTTATTTATATATTTATTATTTTATATTTTAAACAATAAAAATTAAAAGCTTTTCCTCCCTTTTAATCTTACATGATGGTGTTTAATTTAAAATCTTATTTACTATATAATTGATTATGAACATAAGTTTTCACAAACGAAAACACCAAACTCAGTTAAAATTAAAATTATTAAAATTTATAGTTGTGAAAAAGGCTTAAAATTTCAAGAATGAACACAAAACTGAATTTAAATTAGAAGTGCAATATTTAAAAGAAGGAAAATTAATCAACAAATATAATTATTTTAAGGCGTTCGTGACTTTAAGAAGCTTTTATTCTAGGCTTGAATGATATATTTTCTACAAAACAATACTTGCAATAAAAATTATACTAAAATAATTTATTTTTGTATTATAAAAATCTAAAAATGAATTTTTTTGTGATCTGATCCAAACGTAAAGAACGAAAAAGGCAATTTATTTATAAGCAAAGATCCATCAAGGTACGAAAATGTAAAATATACATTATCCTAAAAGCACAAACTGGTCTCACAACGTGAAAGTAAAAATAAATAAAATGGAATAATATAAATATTAATCTTAATGGAAATGAATGAATCGGGCTTTTTCCTCATAACAATTTCTGCAACGAGGAAAAAGCCTGATTCAATTATTTCCATGATCATCTCCTCGAGTGTCAACTTCTTCAAATAAATTAATCTTAATTATTTGATTTTGTTCCTTTCAATTCCAAAATTAATTGAAAATCAAAGCTTAGAATTGTAAACAAACGTCAGGGAAAAGAAAAGGTCTGAGAAAATTTCCATTGAGCAAAACATTGAAATTAATTAATTTGAAAATCTTTGTATTCTCTTCAAATTGATATTATTTTACTCTGGCCCGAGCTGCATGGAAAATTCTCACGCTCGCTTATCAAAGTTTGCTCAGTCCGGATCATGCAAATCTCGTCCGGCTCTCCGCTGACATATTTTGTCATAATATCACTTTCACGCCGATCGATCCCCGGAAAATATTCATGACCGTGCACACGCCGTAGTAATCATGCGAAAATTTTGGATAGATTTTGCGCACGATAATATGTGCATATATGAGAGCGAGGGATGTTCCAATTCCCAGAGAATATACACTGCTCTGAGCATCGTAAAATTGCGTGCGCGGTATTACCGAAGGGCCTCAGGAATATTGCCTTGTAGAGATCACCGAGTGAACGATTTTGCTAAAGGGAGAGAGATACACGTCTATTACAAGCTGGATGAAGATGCAAAAAAAAACTGTTCACTCAGCTTACGGGAAAAATTATAAAAAAATGAAGAGAAGCATGAAAGGTGGAGTTACAAAACAGTTTTTCCGAAATGAATTTGGTAAAATGGTTAAAAATTTCTGCTTTTCGTTCTTGAATTTGAAAGAAGACAAATTTTCATGAAACTGAAGAAAAAAAATTGAGCAGTGTAACTTTTCCCTCCAAATATATTTGACTTTTCACTCTTTTGAGCTTTTATAAAAGATCTTAATGTCTAGAGAAGCATTAAATTAATTTTTAAGTGTTATTTGCTGATGTATTTTCAATTTTGCTGATTTTTGTATTATTCTTGGTCATGAAATAGGGTCGCAGATCGTAACCAAAACTGGTAGAGCCATTAAAAAATTTTTGCAATGAGGAAAAGCCCAATCACTTAATTTCAGATTTAGTGATAAATCAAATAGTTTTGAACTTTTGGTGGAAATACGAGTCTTTATGAATCCTTGTTTCAGTTTCAACCCACATGAGCCCGTTTTTTTTACCCCAAATTTGCTTTCTTCAAAACTTTAGAATAAAAATCATTACTTGAAAGAGCCTTAAAAAAATAACATTAACAAAACCATTTTAAATTTCAAAACTCAAATTAAAAAGCAGTCAAAATCCATTTTTGAAAACCAAATTTCCTGCTATTTGTAATTAATCACAAGTGAATTAGTGAAAATCAAGTCCCCTTGTTTGATACTGCATATGCAACCCGCAGAGCAAGCACGCTTGGCAAATTGCCTATTGTCTAAATGATCGAAAAACGGCTACAAACTCGGCGCAAAGCTTCTGTGTAGAATATTATTGCCCTTTGCGTTCCACATTCGATTGCAGCGAATGGAAATGTGAATATGCTCGATTTTCTACCGAAAGAGGACAGTTTTTTCCCTTCTCGGCCTCTTCGGAGCAAAGGAAAACAACGCACACACGTTGTAAAAAGGTAGTGATGTGTGTGCCGTAGCAGGGTCGAGAACTGTTTCTGGCCGGCGAATGTAAACATTTGTATCGCTCGCCTGATCAATAAAGGCACGCGTACACACGGCCCCGTCGCAGCGAATTTATACAAACAGACGCGGACAGCAGCGAAAGAGGAAAGACAATGTAAAGCCGAGCCATGCAAATTGGCTCTGTAAATAACTCTCTCGAATGCCAATCACGGTTCGCGTGCCTTTTGTAATTCGCTGCCTGGCTGTCGTTAGTATTACACGCATACCTCATTATCTCAAGTACGACCCCACTCGTGCATGATGAGCGAAGAACGAAACGATTCGTTGCCTGTCAAGTTGTCGATAATTTTTTCCCGTTTGAACAGACTTAATTATTCTGTGGCTTTAAAAACCTTATCAACAGAAAAATTATTTTTGCAACTCAAATTATATAAATGCCAAATACTTGAAAATGAAAATGAAGAGATCGGGCTTTTCCTTATTGCAAAAATCGTTATTTTATTGAAAAAAAAGCTTTTTTTAATAAAATAGCAATTTCTGCAATGAGGAAATGCCCGATCTCTTCATTTCCATGATAATCTCCTTGAGTGTAAATTTCTTCAAAGGAACTTTAAAATGAATTTTTAATTAGGTATGGATATTGGACTTGAGAATTTCAGTCAGATTTTTAGCAAAAAAGTCATAAAAAATCTTAATTATACCATCAAAATTTGTGAGATTGAATATAAATTAGAATTTGTTTCATGGACTTTCTCTTCAATTGAAGCAAAATAGCAAAACTCTTTAATCAAATTTATTCAACCTTATTTCACTTTCATAAGAGCAAAATCATCACTCAATTCCATAACCTGCTTGATTCTTTCAGATTTAAACTCATTTAAAAATCAATGGTCTTTAAAAAAAGATTGAATGAGATTATTGCTGACTTTTGATAAACTGGAGAGTTCAATTCTATATTTACATAACCAGTTGTAACTTCCGTCATTCAATCCGTATTATTTTTAGTCCATTAAACAGGACTAGTGGCGGAAATTCTCTCGGGGCTGGTGGAGCAATAAAAATTGCACGCTCTCCGTAAAAATAAACGCATGTAGCAGCATGGCCGAGCAAATTTGATTTGCTTCCCTGCGGGCCTCGATTTTTCACGTATCAGTTATTCCATTTTGTCGAAAAAAGTTACACTCCTCCCGGAATTCTGCCTTCGAAATTAAGCAAAATATAATTCCCGAGGAAAAATTCCTTTTGAATATAAAATATTTTGAGTGACCATTTGAATTAATATTTTTTTTTTAATATTTCTGAGCAGAATTCCATGCACCCAAGTCGCTCACGCACTATGACATAAAAAGCGTCTCTCTTTATTAAATTTCTGTCCAGTTAGCAGAACGTAAGAGGAAATTCTGTCTTTCTCCTTTGGCGAGTTTCTCTTTCCAGCGACGTACGCACGACGTGTTTTTCTATCCCGTCGGCCCGGCTGAAGAAATTTTGATAAATAAAAGAGCAGATTGCTGGTCGTTGCCGAAATTACCCGGCTGGGCTTTCAAAAACTTGCGCTTTGCTGCGAAAGAAAATACCTGCTGCTTGCTTATTCAGCTCAAAAATGCGTCGACCGTCTCTCCTCGCAGCGCCTATTCCGCAGAGCAAAAATTGCCCTCGCAGGGACTGTGAATTGAAAAATTAGTCCTTTGAGCCGCGTAAATTATTCCCGCTCGGAACGGCACTCGCAGGAATTTGATACCTGTGACCAAACCTGTAGAGACGGTGAAGGTTGTCCAAATAAATTTGCTCAAAAAAGGGCAAAATTTCCGTAAATTTTGATACTTTCAGAGTCAGCCTCGAGTCTTGTTCTTTTTTTTTTAGTTTTTCTCAAATAAATAAGAATGTTTTGATGTGAAAAGTGAATCATTATTATTTGACCTCAGTTATAACATTTAATTTGGTTTGCTATACTTTTAGATAGAAAACTAATTTCAATGTAATTAAACAACCCGCTGTACCAAGAATTAGCAATGTTTACACCATATTATTTAATCTGAGTTAATTAGGTACAATTAATAATTGAAAAATTAAATATAAATTATCTACATTGTTTTCCAAAAATCAAATATTTAAAAATATACAAAATTGACCATAAAACTATTGAAAATTAAAAAAAGATTATTATAATACACAAATTAATAAAATAAATATCAAAATAGTATAATATAAAAATAAATGCGCTTAAAATTTTAATAAACTTGTTGAAATTTTATTATAAAATATGTTCTAAAATTCATTTTGAGTTTCTTTTTTGCCAAATGTGTCTTATCCTTCTTCAAATTGAATTAAATCAATTGAATTCTATTTTTTTTTAATGTTTTAGGCATTGAAATTTTTTGAGCAGATTCACTATTATTATATTAAATTTTCAATAATTTTAATTTTTACTTGTTATCTACCACGATAATTTGCACAAATTTTACTAGATATTTGAAGCAGGTGATTTTGTGTAAAAAGTAATTACAATTAAATTAAAGTGCCCTGCTTTTATTGAAAATCGGTTATGCCGTCATAAATTTTACAAAAAAAACCTTTACTTGGATATAATTGGACTAAAAGTGACTTTTTAACCTTTTTTTAAACAATTACCTTTGAATTTTCAACTAATTACTCATCAAAATGTCACATTTTTATTAAAAAATAGACTTCTTATCAGTTTATCAATCAATCAGTCAATATCGCAAGTAGATTGGATTAGAGTTTTGTGAGTTTATCAACACAGGATTTTCTATTCAGTAACAGGCTTTTCTTGCCTTAATCGTAAGCCGAAAAGTGTATTTATTCAGTTAGGCGTGGTGGAAAAGTTTGTCCTGGCGAGACACAAAGGGTGATAAGGCGAGCGGGCGCAAAATTTGCCAAAGCGCGGGTGAAATCCCTTGAAAAAGAACGTGCAGCTTTCTTCTTATTTTTTTCTTCTCTTGACGCGCCAGCGATAAAAAAATTCGCGCAGGTACAAACACGAAACGTACCAAGTCGGCGGAAAGACAAAAAAAAAGTGGAAAGAACGAACGAAGAGCCCCTTGACGCACACGGCTCCCGCAAGGCCGTGCTATTTTTTCCTCTCTTTGTTTGGACGTCACAAAACATTACTCGCGAAATGAGAAAACGCCGGCGCGAGCGGCACCGTCCGCCTGCCTACTTTTCTTTTTTCTCTGTGATTAAAAGTCGGAGGAGCTGCAACAACAGATAAGAAAACAATTTTCAGCACACGCGCTTGGCGCCTGCCCGGTCACTCGCGGCGGAAAACAATGGAGAAGTGAAATTTGCGCCTCGGGCTGCTACCGCTCAATCAGTCCGAATTGGATTTTCTGCTCCATCCCTCGAGTTGAAATCTATTTATTGAAAAGCGATTTCTTTTAATTGCATATTTCCAACAAAAAAAGAGGAAAAATTACATTAGCCTCTGGATCTGATGTCAACAATCGAGAAGAAACGAATTTTGCTTCAACAAATTAGCGTAAAAAGTTTTTGATTAAAGGACTTGAGAGCAACTTTCAACTTATTAAATCCAAATTCATAAAATTAACCCAATAAAGAGTAATGGTAAAAAAAAAATCATTTTTTAATGCACTACAAAATTACTTGTGAAATGAGATCTTGGGAAATTGTAACATTCAGACCATTATAGATTTAGGGCTTTCTTTCAATGAAAATTTTTTTTAATTGGCATTTTAATTTGACACACTCTTGGTAAGGGTCAACCAAATTGAATGAAATTTGGCCCATCATTTCGTTTCATGGTCCAGACAAATAGTTTAGAAGGATTTTAAAAAAATTCTCAAAATTGCCTATTTTACAGGGGCTCAAAGATGGCGATTTTGAAGAAAGGCGTTTTAAAAAATCGAAAATATCTCAATTCCTGTTTGAGATAGCGCAAATGTTTCTATTATCAAACTTGTAGGAAATTAGACGTCCTATAACTCTGCCGTGGTAACCAAGGTCATATGTCAAAGTTCAAGGTCACTTTTTCTGACCTCAGGTTTTTAAGTCGATATCAAAGTACGACGGAAGTAAAATATTTTGATTTCAAAATAGCCAAAAGTTGCCTAATTAAGTTACCAACATCATATTAAAAAATGGCGGGACTTACTTTTTTCGTTTTTGAGATATTCAGGGTTAAAGGGTAAAAAACGTGGTTTTCCGAGCCTTTGTAATGCAAAAACATCTTAAACGGCCATAACTTTTCTCCTGTTAGAGATAGGACACAATATGTAACGACAAAAATTGTTCCCCTTGACTTGTTCTTTCCGATCATGTATCACACATAATGACCAGGTCAAAAAAGGTCAGATGTCACCGGGGTCAATTGTAAAATTTTTTATTTTTTTTTTTTACTGCTTAGATACTTTTTTAAAAGGGCCTCTGATTTTTCTAGAATCTTAATTTTTTACAATTTCTACTTTTTGATAATAAAGAAAGCACAAATTTTAAGCCAATTATTTTAATTATCAAGAAAAAATTTCCCTTATGAATTTGAAACTTTTTTAAACCTCTTCATATTAAAATAGACAGGTTCCAGCTTGTAATAATTTTTTTGTTGCAAAACTTCTCGTTGACTTTTTCTGCATTTTCAAGCTCCAGGCTTCCCTTTTTCGCGAAGTAAAGAGAATAAAAAATGCGAACAAACACCGAGACCGTGCCTTTCGAGTTCTTTAAATATGTACCGAGAGTAACACGCAAAAATTACACACGAGACCTCGAGGCAGAAACGAAGACTAAAAGCTTAAAAACAAAAAAAAAGTTTTTCGTTGCCATAAAAATAAAAACTCACCGCGCATTTCTTGGTCCACACCCTGCAGATCCTTCTTGGCGTTCTCCATGTTGAAGAACTCGAACTCGCGGAGCAGTCTGCACTTCTCTTGGAAATTCTCGGGCAAGCAGATTTTCTTGTCCCTCAAATAGTCGAGCACATAGCGGAACAGAACACCGTCCCGGTCGATGAACACTCGCCCCTTGGAGTCCTTGGGGCTGGTGCTCATGATCTGCTTCAGGTTGGCCGCGTCCTCCGAGCTCAGCGTGCTCTGGCTGCTCGCGTAAATCACGCCGCCCACGTTCAGCTCCACGATCTGCGACGAACTCATCTGCAACGACAACATAAAATGTTCGCATCAACTCGAGAAAACACATCGTCCGATTAGATTGAATTTTATTGGGATCAGCCCGGAGATTTTATTTTGCTTTCGGTAGCTTGTACTTCCGCAAAGGCATATTCGAATAATCCTAAATTATGTAGTAGAAGTTCACGATCGAGGGTTGATTCATGGTGATTTGAATTTAAACCCATCGAGGAAAAGCCGAATTTAAATTCAAATCACCATGAATCCTAAATTAATTTGTCATGGAAGACTTAAGAAGTGTTGTCAGTCAATAGTTGTTATTATAATTATTTGCAAATTTTTATGTACTTTTTATTTGTAAATAAATAAATATAATTATAAAATAATAATAAAATTTTATATATTGTGGGTGTATAATTTATTTTACATGTAATTTTAAAATTTTTTATTATATGTTTTTTATTTTTTAAACAATAAAAATTAAAAGCTAATATTACTTTTTAATCTTACATAAGATGTTCAGCTCAAAATTTTATGTGCTTTACAATTAATTTTAAATATAAGTTTTCTGGTGATCGCATTCAACTTATACTTTAAAGTATTAGACAATAATTGTGTCCCATGGATCCTTGTATAGTTAAATTACATCAAATTATTATCCAATAATTATAATAATTGCAAAAATAAATATAGCATGGACATTAATTACTACTTTTGATGGAAAACCAGGTGAAATATTTTAACCTTGGTGGAAATAGACGATTTTCTTAGATATGAATATTAGATGACACATTTTTGTGTATTCCATTTTAAGTTGATGGGATTTTAGCGTTTAATATTGTTTTTTATTCGTTCACATGGTTAAGCATTGTTACGTTGTTTTTATATCGAGAAACAAATTAATTTCTTTGATAAAAACAGTTGATAAAAAAAATGAGGATTTATTTAATTTATTTAAATGTGTTAATTTTTCAAGAAAATATTACAGTGATATGAATTTAAAGTCGGCTTTTTATGCAACGGGTTTTATGAATTATTCATTGTAAGGAGACAGGAGCAGGGAGGAGCTTCAAATATATAGTCAAATCAGTGTATTTTGTGATTGTTGACGATTGTTGTACTCTGAAGTCAAATCACGTCCTTTACGTGTTATAAATGGGTCAAAAGGTCAAGCTTTTCACTGTATTTTGTATGCACATTGCAAATTTTCTGAGCAAAATTGATCGCGCCATTTCAGCAGTTGACCCTCTTTAAGAAAAAAAGTCTACTTTAAATTGCAACAGCTGCATGAATCAACGCTTGGTCATGAAAATTTAAAAAAAAAATGTATTGGGAAATCTTATTCGCATAGTCAAATCAAGAATTTAAAACAATAGGAGCTATTTTTTGTAATAATTAGAAAATTTTAAACCGCCATAGTTGTAAAGATTTCATATGACTATGCCAATAAAAAATTAATTGAATTGTCAATTAAATTAGTAATTGAGACTAATCGCCCTGAGGTGGAATTTCGAGACGCGAGTTTTTGAGACAAAACTGGTGTAAAAAAAATTTGGAAAATTCCTGTTGTGATGTCTTTGGGGTTTTTAACTCTCAAAAAATTAAATTTTCATCGCAAGATTTCTTAATTAAATAATGGTAAATATCGTTAGGCCTTACTGAACCGAATCTGCAGCACGGTATAAATTCCACTTAAGAATAAACCAAGTGCGACTCTGCAGATGTTTGAAAGTTCTTACGTTTTATGTGATACGCACTTCGGTGGGCTCGGGTTTTCCGCCCTGGTGTGCAATGGGCCTAGACAAACACACTCGCGAGGAATAATTCACGCGCACGTGCGTCGGCCCCAAGTAAATTCCCAGAGAGTCGTTTTATTTCTCGGGCTGCAGCATTATTATTTCGCCAGGGTTGCGCTGCGTGAAATTGCGGTACACGAGAGATGTCGGTGCAATTTTAAGCGGCCGCTGATGAATGTTTGCGGGCGTAATTTATCGCCGAGCGCGCAAAACGCGAGGCCCTTCTTCTTTGTCTACTTATTAAATTCGTGTTGGTCCAAACTCGACCCGCTTGCAATTCATCCCTCGGCCGAATCCACTCGCAAAACGCGTGTCATTTATTTATTTCCGCCCGACAACCACTCTTGCGACGGAAAGTGACATTTATCCTCCAGACCTCATATTTGTCACCCGCACTTTTGCGTGAATTCTGAAGGACAGGTCTTTTACGAGACTGTTAAAGGATTGGGGTTAACTTTATTAATTATAAATTATGCATTAAATGAGCTTCCAGATTAAGACTAAATCCGTACAAGTAATAGATTTATTATTTACTTCGCATACGGATTTATTTCAGTGGATGCCAATTTAAACGCAAATAATAAAATTATTTAGTATAATTATTTTAATTGTAAGATAATTTTTGTATTGAGGACGGTTATCTTGCATCTGAGTTCAATAAATTTAAATTTAATACATTTTTATGTTAAATATTTTAAATATAAAAATCACAAAGATGATAATTAATTAAAATATAAACTTCAGCAAATAAAAATTTTGTTAAGGTTTTTTACTAACAGACTTTTAATAATTACTTTTTATATTTTATTTATTATCAACAAGATTTTACGGCAAAGAAAAACAAATTCTGTAAATTATAATTTGGTCATTTCCAAGAGTACCCTCAGAGCTTGGAGGAATTTTTTTTAGGAAACCAATCATTTTGAGTTTCACATATGTTGGAGGGCATTTGAAAAGGAATTGCTTTCCAAAATTTTGGACCCCAAAAATTTCGACTTCCCAGTTTTTTCGGGACATTTTGAAAAAATTTAAAACGTGTATAACTCTGCAACCGCGAATGCTAGAGTGATAAAAATTTCACCTCTAGACGTAATGTTTTATGCCAAACAACTTTTCTATTGAATCCAAAGCTGCAGGTCAAAGGTCAAGGTCACTTTTAAGCGATTTTATGATTTTTTTAGTAAAAAAGTCTGATTTTGGGGACGATGGTCCCTTTTGATATTTTTGCAGGTATGGGAAAAAATGTAGCTCGTGTAATTTTACACATTACACTTAATTTTCAGAATAGTTAAATTTTCAGTTTTCTCACAAATTGCGTCCGAAGTTAGAAAATTGGGCGAAAAAGCCACAAATTTCACATGAGCTGAAATAAAACATGAGCCAAATTTGATTATTTTAATATATTTGAGAACCCAGACACCAATTTGAACTGAAATGGTTGTTATTTCCGAATTTTGTAAATAAATGGGAAAAATTGTTGTTTTTTTGTAATGTTAATAATGTTCATTACATTATCAACTTATCGGAGTTGAAAATTTTTCAATGAAATTAATATTTATTAGAAAAAATTTTAAGCGAAATTGAAAAATCAGTCACTCTCTTAATGAAAATTTAATTTTTCTGTTGAAAAATCAAATTTATTTGCATTTTTCTTTAAGCGGAATCAAAATGAGTCGTGGGATGCTGTGAACCTTTTACAATTAAAAGGTCAGCCCATTGTGAGCTCGTTTTTTTAATTTTTTTGTCTTCCTCTCTCGTTTCGATTGCCGGCGGCCTTTATCTTGCCAGCAATACAAACCAAACAAGGCACCGCAAAAGCCGCTTATGCTTAATTAGTGATAATTATAAATTTGTGCTTTTGTTGCAAAACTTTCTCCTCCGGGGGCCGAAGGCGTCGTGTGTGCTCGCGAGCGAAAGCTAATTCGCCGTCTGAAAAGCTGTTTGGCTTCGGAAAGTGCTGACTGAATTTATGGTGCGTTTCGGCCGTAAAGATAAAACTAGGCGCGTTTTTAGCGCGTCTCCACGGCACCCACAAACTCAATTTTGCGCGCTCGGCCGTAAAATGCGCTGCCAGTCTTTTAATGCGAATTTTCGTGTTTTCATTAAATTCGCCGCGAGTGCCGCCCGCCCAGGTGATGAATATTGTAGAGAGACGCCGGGCGACGCGCATTTAAAGAGCAGAGATAAGACGCTTATTATCCATAAATGTCGAGTCTGAAGAAGGCATCAAACCAACTTGATTGCGTTTCCACGTTATTAAAAATTAAATCTGCAATATTAGCTTCCTAGAATATGAATTCATTGAACCACTTTTTCAGAAAACATTAATCTAATTTAGATGAGTGCTTTCTTGTCTGGGAACATTTGGAGTTATTTAGTTGCAAATTGTGTTTATTGATCTATCACAAAGGCAATAATTGCTGCCCATAACGGGATACATCATTTATACATTCAAAATTATACAAGTTAATATAATTGAGAGAAAATATGATAATTTTACATACAAATTTTTACAATAACAAAATACAAAACAAAAAGAAAAATTAACAGTAATAAAGTTGTTTGAACATTTTTCTTTTTTCTGGATGTTGAAAGCTTGAATTTATTTATTTACTTATTTTATTTTCAACAGCTTAGCTAAAATTGTATTTAAAATTCAAGTTTAGAATTCTAATCTTCTGAAAAATCGTAAAATAACATGTTTAAAAACTAAATGCGAGAGGTTTTAAATGTAATTTTCTAAGGCAAATTATAATTTATTATGAGAAAGGCTGAAATAAAGTAAAATCTAAGTAAGATTGATATTTAAATAATAATTGTAATAAATGAAATTAATTTTTTACTTATTAATTATGTGATTTATGGTGAATCATTCAACAATAGCAAAATAAATGACTTTATCTCAATTGTGAACTATTTTTTAAGTAATTGATCATTTCAAAGATACTACCAGGGAGGTTATTAGAAACAATATAATCCATTTAAGCGATTGAACCAAATATCTCATTTTGCAGTCAAAATAATTATTAGCAATTAATTATCAATTTAAAAAGCTCATTTCTTATTATCTTTTTATGGGAAAATGGGAAACAGCCAAACTAGGTTTTATATATTTTTAGAAACAATTATTATTTCTTTATTTCTTCATTGGACAATACATAAAAAATAAATAAGTAAATAAAATATGATATTTTAAAAAATTAAAATATATAATATAATTAAATAATA